GAAGTTGGCCAATTATGAAAGGGAATAGACTGGCCAACCAATCAGAGATACTCCATGAAAATTAATGGAGGAGAGGACACTAGATTGAGAGGCTCTCTTTGGAACACCAGGGAAGGGAATGGATCTTGTACGTCCAGTTCCATGGTAATTATGGAATACATCCCTTGCACTTATATCTAAATGTTTGTCTTATGTCTTTTTTCTGTCTCATTGTTTGTATTTTGTAATATATTTGAGCTTTCTTAATAATGTTTCTTTTATGTAACTAGATAGATTGTTTGTGTTAGTTCAGACCTCCATCCTATTCACCAATACATTTTGGTTGTTGTGTTAAACTTTTCACTTCTGGGAAAGAACTCTTCATTTACCAAATCATATCAGAGAAATATTATATTTCATAATCTATAGATTTGGTCAACAAGACTCATGACCCTTTACACAAAATTCACAACATGTAGCAAGATGCAAGTTTAAAAAAAAGTTTGAAAGAAAAGTTTGTCAGTTTCAGTTAGTTATGTACCAGGAGATTAAAAGTTTAGTGAAGTTATAACTACAGATGAATTTGATGTAATAGTTTTGTCTCTGAAGGTTTCTCTTTTTTCGTGTTCTCAGTAATGATCAGATTATAACATGTTCAGTAGAGGCTGATGTAATGGTTTTGTCTTGGGAGTTTTCTCTTTGTTCTCAGCTCTGAGCAGACTATAAATACAGCCTTGTCTGTGTGTCTGATTTGTAGGAAGATCTATATCCTACCTATTGCAGTGCAGGTAGAAAATGTCACAATTCTATTATATACTCACTAGGTGTCTGAGGATTCAGCCGTATTCTCTTTGCTGGGTGATCAGTCGGCCCGTATTTGCAGCAGGAAATTCCTACTCTGATATAGACCGGGGATAGACAGAGGATACAATCTCTCTACTACTGAAATATGTCACCACTTATTGGCAGACACCCCATTGTAGCAAAATGAGATCAGAGTGCTGGGAATGTGAAGATTATCCCCGAGTAGATCCATCTCTCAGTAGTGGCCGTACACTAGTACAGATTATTTGTTAATCATTAGTCAGTTCTTTAACATATTTTTTTCACTGTTTAGCACGACATATATTACTTCACTGAGCGCTCAGTCACACTAACAATATTTAAAAAATGATTTCTTTTGTGTGTGTGTGTTTTTCCTTTCCTTTCTCTTCTTTTCCTTCTTTTCTTGCTTTCTTTGTATTTCCTTTTTCTGTGGTTTAATTACAAATACGGAACTAATCTCAGTGGGGCTCTGCGATGCATCCCCCGTGAGCAGCATGCATATTGGTATTATATAGATTATTTGTCTTTTTTATTTTTTTAAGGGTCTTCAGCCGAGTAGATTCATAACTACAAATATGAATTCTCTATTTTACTCCTTTGTTTAAAGTGCAGATATCATATGATACTTAGGTTATAAACTAGAGAAACATAATATATCTCCAAAGACATGCTGGGAGGTGAATTGGCTCCTGTCTAGATTGGCCCTAGTATGTGTGAATGTGAGTTAGGGCCCTTAGATTGTACGCCCCTTGAGGGTTAGGAACCTTAGATTGTACGCCCCTTGAGGGTTAGGGACTGATGTGAATGTACAATATATATGTAAAGTGCTGTGTAAATTGATGGCACTATATACGTACCTGTAAGAAATAATAAATAAATAACATAAGGGGGTTTTAGAGGTTTGATTTATAAGCTATTAAAGCTCTAAATGTTTGCAACTTCTTTTTATATTGCATTGTGGTTTTTTTTTTTTCCTTTTCAACCACACCATGAATGATATGTATATATTTAGGTTTTCTTGCATAGCTGCAGTGATTTTGCATTTATTGGTTATGGGGTGTGTGTGACATTATTTTTTTTTTTATTTTTTTTTTTTCTTGTTCAATATTTTACTGCTTTAACATCAGACATAGTACAAACAATAGCAATGAAAAAGTGCCGGATAGAAAATGTGTATGGAACAGAATAAATAAACAACATAAGGGGGTTTTAGGGGGTTTTAGAGGTTACATATGTGTGAATGTGAGTTAGGGCCCTTAGATTGTACACCCCTTGAGGGTTAGGGACTGATGTGAATGTACAATATATATGTAAAGTGCTGTGTAAATTGATGGCGCTATATACGTACCTGTAAGAAATAATAAATAAATAACATAAGGGGGTTTTAGAGGTTTGATTTATAAGCTATTAAATCTGTAAATGTTTGCAACTTCTTTTTATATTGCATTGTGGTTTTTTTTCCAACCAAACCATGAATAATATGTATGTATTAGGTTTTCTTGCATATCTGCAGTGAGTTTGCATTTATTGGTTATAGGTGTGATATTATTATTTTTTTTTTTTTAATTATTTTTTTTTTCTTGTTCAATATTTTATTGCTTTAACATCAGACATAATACAAACAATAGCAATGAAAAAGTGCCGGATAGAAAATGTGTATGGAACAGAATAAATAAAAATAACATAAGGGGTTTTAGAGGTTTAATTTATAAGCTATTAAAGCTCAAAATGTTTGCAACTTCTTTTTTATATTGAATTGTCAATTAATATAAAGAATGCAGAAAAAATGTTCTGCTACTTTTTTTCTTTAAATATGTATTGTGCGTGTTGTTTAATATTTCACGTATATGTGTTTTTTTTCCCAACCACACCATGAATGATATGTATGTATCGGGGCGGACTGACCATTTGGAAACTCGGGCACTGCCCGAGGGCTCGGGGTCAGTAGTAGGGGCCCCATGAGATGCCCCTGGTACCTTTTTTATAGGCTTTTTTGAGTTTGGCAAGGACACATGATCCCTTATTGCCCGGGGGCCCCATGAGTTGTCAATCCGCCCCTGGTATGTATTGAGGTTTTCTTGAATAGCTGCAGTGAGTTTGCATTTATTGGTATGGGGTGTGACATTATTTTATTATTTTTGTTATTTTGTTTATTTTTTTTTTTCTTGTTCAGTATATTTTTTTATTATTTTTTTTTCTTGTTCAATATTTTACTGCTTTAACATCAGACATAATACAAACAATAGCAAATAGCAAAAAAGTGCCGGATCAAAAATGGGTATGGAACAGAATAAATAAATAACATAAGGGGGTTTTAGAGGTTTCATTTATAAGCTATTAAAGCTCAAAATCTTTGCAACTTTTTTATATTGAATTGTCAATTTAATTAAAGAATGCAAAAAAAATGTTCTGCTACTTTTTTTTTTAAATATGTATTGTGCGTGTTGTTTAATATTTCACGTATATGTGTTTTTTTTTTCAAACCACACCATGAATGATATGTATGTATTTAGGTTTTCTTGAATAGTTGCAGTGAGTTTCCATTTATTGGTTATGGGTGTGACATTATTTTTTATTTTTTTTTTATTATTATTTTTTTTTTCTTGCTCAATATTTTATAGCTTTAACATAAGACATAATTCAAACAATAGCAATGAAAAAGTGCGGGATCAAAAATGTGTATGGAACAGAATAAATAAATAACATAAGGGGGGTTTTAGAGGTTTGATTTATATAAGCTATTAAAGCTCAAAATGTTTGCAACTTCTTTTTATATTGAATTGTCAATTTATATAAAGAAAGCAAAAAAAATGTTCTGCTACTTTTTTCTTTAAATATGTATTGTGCGTGTTGTTTAATATTTCACGTATATGTTTTTTTTTTCCAACAACACCATGAATGATATGTATGTATCAGGGGCAGACTGACCATTTGGAAACTCGGGCACTGCCCAAGGGCCCGGGGTCAGTAGGGGGCCCCATGAGATGCCCCTGGGACCTTTTTTAATAGGCTTTTTTGAGTTTGGGCAAGGACACAGGGGCCCCATGATCCCTTATTGCCGGGGGCCCCATGAGTTGTCAGTCCGCCCCTGGTATGTATTTAGGTTTTCTTGAATAGCTGCAGTGAGTTTGCATTTATTGGTTATTGGTGTGACATTATTTTATTTTTTTTTTTTTAATATTATTTTTTTTTTTTCTTGCTCAATATTTTATTGCTTTAACATCAGACATATAGTACAAACAATAGCAATGAAAAAGTGCCGGATCGAAAATGGGTATGGAACAGAATAAATAACATAAGGGGGTTTTAGAGGTTTGATTTATAAGCTATTAAAGCTCAAAATTTGCAACTTCTTTTTATATTGAATTGTCAATTTATATAAAGAATGCAAAAAACATGTTCTGCTACTTTTTTCTTTAACCACTTGCCTACCAGGCACTTATACCCCCTTATTTACCAGGCCAATTTTCAGCTTTCAGCGCTGCCGCACTTTGATTGACAATTGCGCGGTCATGCAACATTGTACCCATATGAAATTTTGATCATTTTTTTCTCACAAATAGAGCTTTCTTTTGGTGGTATTTAATTGCCACTGGGCGCTTTACTTTTTGCGCTATAAATAAAAAAAGTGCAAAAAATTTGAAAAAAAAAAAAAGTTTCTTTGTTTCTATTATAAAATTTTTCAAACAGGTATTTTTTCTCCTTCACTGATGTGCGTTGATGAGGCAGCACTGATGGGCACTGATAGGCGGCACTGATGGGCACTGATAGGCAGCACTAAAGGGCACTGATAGGCAGTACTAATGAGGTGGCACGGATAGGCGGCACTGATAGACAGCACTAATGAGGTGTCACGGATAGGCGGCACTAATATGCAGCACTGATAGGCGGCACTGATAGGTGACACTGATGATGGGTACTGATAGACGGCACTGACTGGCATCACTGCTGGGCACTGACTGGCCGCACTGACTGGTACAACCCCTGGGCACTGACTGGTGGTACTGACTGGCAGCACTGCTGGGCTGCACTGGTGGGTGGCACTGGTGGGCAGCACTGGTGGGTGGGCACAGGTGGGTGGCACTGGTGGGCACAGGTGGGTGGGCACAGGTGGGTGGCACTGCTGGGCACAGGTAGGTGGCACTTCTGGGCACAGGTGTGTGACACTGCAGAGTGGCACAGGTGGGTGCACTGCTGGGCACAGGTGGGTGCACTGCTGCACAGGTGGGCACAGGTGGGTGATCTGCTGGGCACAGGTGGGTGGAGCTAGTGGGCGCACTGCAGGGCACAGGTAGGCGGAACTTGCGGGGTGGCACTGCTGGGCACAGATCATCAGGGCACTGATCATCAGTGCCCTGATGATCAGTGCCGATCCCCGCTCTGACAACTGCCGGTTCTTGGCAGTACTTTCCTCACGATCTGACAGCGTGAGGAAAGTGCAGCCGAGAACCGGCACTTGCATTTCCCTCTGATCAGCGTGTCATTGGACACCACTGATCACGTGGTAAAAGGCCGGTGTGATTGGCCTTTTACCACATCACGTGATCAGCTGTGTCCGTAGGACACAGCGATCACGGAGATCGCCGGGTGCGCGCCCCCTGGGGCGCGCAGGAGAGCGCGTTCTGGGGGGACGTCATATGACGTCCACTCAGAACTGGCCGGCCGCAGTGCAGCCGTCATTCGGCTATCTGCGGTCGGCAACAAGTTAATATTTCACGTATATGTGAGGTTTTTTTTCAACCACACCATGAATAATAGGTATGTATTTAGGTTTTCTTGCATAGCTGCAGTGAGTTTCCATTTATTGGTTATAGGTGTGACATTATTTTATTTATTTTTTTTTTTTTATTTTTTTCTTGTTCAATATATATTTTTTTTTATTATTTCTTTTTTCTTGTTAATATTTTACTGCTTTAACATCAGAGATAATACAAACAATAGCAATGAAAAAGTGCCGGATCAAAAATGTGTATGGAACAGAACAATACCAAATATATTAATCAGGTAGATGATAACGATTGATCTAGTCATATGATAAAACCTCATTTTATGTTCAAGGCAGCAATGCAGGGAGGGGGAGGAGGGAGGAGGAGGAGGAGGAGGAGGAGGAGGAGGAGGAGGAAGGTCGTTATGTAATCTTATGAAAGTTGAGTTAATTGTTTTTCTGTTTTTTATACATTTTTTTATTGCTTAGCACTGCATACATTACTTCATGTAATTTAAAGCATATTCATGTCAAGAATATTTAAAAAAAAAAATGTCTCCTTTTTATTTTTTGTAAAATACTTTTCTCTTACTCTGTACTGTGCATGTTGTTCAATATTTAGCTCAGTGCTTTATGGGCAATTTAAAGTGTATCTAAACCCCGGAACAACAATATAATTTATTGCAGCTCACCAGTCCTTGTGTGGTCTCTGCATTAGTGTCCATGCACACATAGGCTTTAATCAGCATTTTTTGGATGGAAAAAAACCCAGAACTAGCGAGTTTCTAGAGGAGTTTTTTTTAGCAGTAAAATGTGGCAAACCAGCTTTTTTGGACTTTTTTTGAGCAACATTTTTTTTGGTGTAAAAAACGCTTAAAAATGCAAATGTTGAAAAACGCAGCTAAATGCTAATGCAAAAACGTGGAAAAATTCATTTTTAACATGACTGCCAGCATTATTATAACAACCAGTGTGCAGGGAGCCTTAGTTTTCATTTTCAGGTTTTTTTTTTTTTTTACCTGGTGATCCTGTCAATAACAGGCTTCCTGTCCAAGGGTGACAACGCTGTCTCACAGCACGGTGTCTATGGAGGGCGGTGTTCTGTAGTCCACAGAGTGAACTCAGGCAGGGCTGATAACAATGTTTGAGATTTCAGTGCAGCATTGTCAGCTCACTACATGAATTTAGGAGTTCAATGGATTTTTCTGGCGGGATCCACAAGTCATTGTTTGCAGTTATGAAACAGACCGAACATTACACCATCAACTGGATATTTCAGACCTAAAATTCATTGTTAGGTCCATCTTCTTACTGCGAGGAGATATTACTACATGCTGACAATCATTTCATTAACAATGCATTGACTTTAGTGTGCTTTACATGATCCAACTGCCAACCAATAAGGGGTGACGTACTTAAGGCAAATAGACTGAGCACTTTGCAGTTGCAGTTTCTCCAGAGCTCAGTAAATGAGGTAAAGCTTCACCTTGCAAAGAAAATACCCAATCACATGCAAGGAGAATTAAAAACAACACTTTTGCTCGCACATGATTGGATGATGGAAGTCAGCATAGCGTCTGCCCATTCAGTAAGCTCTGGAACAACTGCTCTTGTAGAATGCAACTGAAGTTTGCAAAGTGCTCCGCTTATTTGCCTTTAGTAAATCAACCCCATAGTGTGATCTCTCAGCAGCACCGAAAAACCTATATAGGGAGAAATACCTAGGCTTCCATCGCTGACCTCCTTTCTGAAAATACTAACTGCCTGGCTGTTATGCTTTTCCAATGTCCAGTCGGTATGTCGTTCAGGAGTTCTGACTTTCTAAGCTGCATGATTATTCCGGGTTCAATAACTCATGAAGCAAGTCAGAGACAGCCAGGCAATCAGCATTTTTAGGGGGAGACAACTGCATTAATACTTTGTTTTTCAGTATACAGTAGGTTCCCTTTAAGGGGGGGGGCACAACCCATATGGAAAAAAAATATATTTGAAATATATTTTAAAATATTCTTCCCAAATAAATTGCCATATATTTGAAATCCTACAATTTTAGCTATATTCAATATATTTACAAAAAAAAAAAAGAAAAAAAAATATATATATATTGCATATTGAAATTAGTTTTTAGTACAAAATATATGAAAAATATTTTTAAAAATACATTTCAAATATACTGTATGTCTTTAAAAATACAAATCTACATTTTTGGAATGCATTTACAAATATCTGTAAAAATATATGTTAAAATGACTTTTTTTATATGTTAAACAAATATTTTAAAATATATTCTTCAGATTTTTTTTAACATTTAAAAAAGTCATTTTAACATATATTTTTACAGATATTTGTAAATGCATTCCAAAAATGTAGATTTGTATATTTAAAGACATACAGTATATTCGGAACGTATTTTTACAAATATTTTTTATATATTTTGTAATAAAAACGCATTTCAACATGCAGTATATATATATATATATATATATTGAAATTTGTTTTAAAATATATTGAAAATGGCCAATATTGTAGCATTTAAAATATATGGCAATATATTTGGGAAGAATATTTTTACAATATATTTCAAATATATTTTTCTTCCATGTGGGAGGGGCTGTTGAAAGACCAGGATTTGTGATTATATTTCTGTGTATGAAAACATATCAAAAGGAACAGAGATTCTTTTTTTTTTTAATTACATCTTTATTTTCCATTCGGTTAATTTCTGGATAAAGAAAGAATGTTTCTTCACTTTGTATTGCATTTTAGTTATATATGACATGCATGGTTACCAATAAGAAAACCATGACGTTAAAAAAGTGATCCCATTTCACCTACACAGGTATTAGGAAATTGTTGAAATGTTTGTATGTATATGTATATAATATTTTGTCTTTGTGTAGAAATGTGCTCACATCCTATGGAAAACACAACATCTCCTCTAGATGTCCACATTTTGCCATTTTTCATGATAAATGACCACCAATTGCTCACCATTAGCATTGTCTGCTTTTCCTTCATCTATATAATTGGACAGCTGATGAACATAGTTATCATTGCAGTGATATGTTTGGACCTCCATTTGCACACCCCGATGTATTTATTTCTCTGCAACTTGTCTGTGGTTGATATGTGTTATACAACTGTCACCATTCCAAAACTCCTCTACATCTTACTATCTGGAAATAATACAATGCCATTTACACAATGCCTTATCCAGATGTATTTTATGTTAATAGCGGCCAGTGCTGAGGAAATCATTCTGTTTATAATGGCGTATGACCGATATGTCGCAATTTGTCACCCTTTACACTATCATCAGATACTTAGTAAGAAAATCTGTATATTACTTATATTAGTCACCTGGATTGGTGGGAATATAAATTCATCTTTTGTTACAAGTTCAATCTTAAAAATGGTTTTCTGTTCTTCTGTTACCATTCACCAGTTCTTCTGTGATGCTAAAGCTCTCGTCAACATTGCCTGCGGTGGTACTGAAATGTTTTATATCCTCTCCTATGCAGAGTATTTAGTATTTGGGTTCTGTCCAGTTATGTGCAACTTGCTGTCCTATGTACAGATTATCAGGGTCATACAACGTATTACATCTAAGGATGGCCAAAGAAAAGCCTTCTCCACCTGTTCATCCCACCTCATTGTTATAGCCATCTACTATGGATCTTGTTTATCTGTATACATGATACCACCATCAGACCGCTATGCCATACTTGAACAGATCTTAACCATGTTCTACACCACAGTGGTCCCCGTGTTGAACCCTCTCATATACAGTCTACGGAACAAAGAAATGAATAGTTCTTTGCGAAAACTAGTCTCGTAACACTCACCAGCAGGGATGAGGTTTGGGTTTTCCACCACCATGGACTAGCATCAAATTCTGCATTGTCAACATTCAAGGGCCTGAAATATTTATATGAGAATTTACCGAACCCAATTCATTGTCACCAGAAAAGACTGACTTGTCTTTGAACATAAATTAACAGCCCAGTTATGTGAACTGTCCAACCAGGCTTCTGATATTCCCACCAAGTCAAACTGTTCCTTAGGTTACAGAAGTTCTAGATTTTCTATTTTGTTTTCCAGACTTTTCATGTTTGGGAACATACATTTTAATTTTGTGCTAGTGTTTAATATTACATTTTTGCTCCCCCTTGAATTACACTTTGATTCTGCGGCTCTTTTAGTGTTGTGTTAAATAACACAGTTGTCCTGCTGTCTAGTTTGAAGCCCATAGACTAGAAAAACACCAGCAGTAGTCATTTAGTAAATTATCAATGATAATTCATTTCAATCAACAATTAAAATGTATATGTAACTATTCTTGATTGCAAATTGTAAGTTTTTCATTCCTCAGTTCCTTGTTAATTATGTTATAGTTTACCAAGTCACTATCAAATGGATTGTTTATTCTAAAAAAGAATTGTTTCAGCCTTGATGTATTATTACTAATATTTTATTATCCAATTTATTAATAAATAAAATGTGATTAATGCCTTTAGTGTAAAATGACTTGTTTTTTTTTTTTCAATTTCATTAAGCTTAATTAGAATTATAATAAACATTTGCAGTCATTTATAATGTACACGTTTACAGTTTTCTCAGTACATTCAGTACTCATTCAGTAAATCTTCATTTCATACATTACAATCTTGATATTGTATGACAGGGAAAAGAATAGTTCACAAAGTGTGTGTCTAATTGTCCACCATTAGCATTGGACCGCTCCAGCCCTGGCAGACTGATCACACCAAAACCCTCAAACGACACAGTCGTGCCCTGGAGCGACTATGGCGCAAAACCAAATCCCAACAGGCTTTCACCTGCTACAAATCTGCCTTCCACACCTACACCTCCTCCCTCCAT